TAGCGTGGCACTTGTTCCTAATAGCTTCTTGTTACTACTAGTAAGGCACTTGTTACTAGTAGCGTGGCACTTGTTCCTAATAGCTTCTTGTTACTACTAGTAAGGAGTCAGTTGGACCATCGGGCAAGGTAAAGACCTCCAAGACAACTCCTCGACGCAAGGAGAAGGCGGCACCTCGACGGATACAAAGCTTTTCAGGACGGGGCATCCAAGGAGCAGTCGCATCCACAGGCACCGGTCCTTGTTTTGTCTGGGCATCCCAAATCATCAAACCAGGCAAGCAAGAATCATAAACCTGGCAAACGTGCTTTGACATGTTCTGCATCGCTGCGAGTCCTACACTGCAGCTGTCTTAACCGACTGCAGCCCAGCAGCTGGCGGCAAGGCGGTGGTCCCCGCACCACACAAGGCCAGGACAAAGCGCAAGCGTGTCTTGGAGCCCAGCAAGACCTGCCGTGGGAGTACCTCAAAGCATCCACGCCAAACGATAGAGTCGAGGGGCCAAGTGCATAGAGTCGATTGCGAGGTTGAGGAGATGCGAGGGCTAAAAAGGATCCAAAAGACTTGTCGAAAGGAGCCCAGATGCAAAAGGGCGGTTGAGCCATCGGCTCAGTGGCTTCGTCAGGACGAGCTCCGCCATCCGCTGCATCAAGTCGATGGATTCCTCATCGAAGTCGATGGATTCCACTCGATCCGTGTCTGCCTCACGCCGTTTTGGTGTGGATGACTCTATCTGAATCTGAAGAGAGCCCAAAATAGCACGTCATGCCAGTTCATGCTACTTGATGATGTTGTCGCTACAGCATAATCCTGTGAGTACGCTCTCACCATCCTGTCAGAAATGATACAATGTGCTCCAGAGACACAAACAAAAGCTGCGCCAGCCTTGCATCGGATGAGTGCCCACCGCTGTATCCGATAGCTGAGGTTTCCCAAAATGCCCACGTGCTTCAATTGCAAACGGGTAATCTGTCTGCGGAAGAGCGATGCTGTTCCAGCAAGGAAAGTAGGCTGTAGTTTCTTGATGTCTTCAAAGATCCGTGGTGACCTGCCACATTAGCTGGATAGTCAAAGCGCGACTCAGATTCAAAACTTCTCTGTTGAGAGAAAGCTTCCAAACTTCGCCTCACCTGACACCTCCGAAAAAGCCAATGGCCCCTCCAGCAGCCACCACCGCATGGAGCATGAGGCGCTCGGCGGTGAAGGCCGGCCAAATGTAGCTAAAGTGGCAATCATCACAGGTGAGGCCCAAGGCCTAAGGGTGCGTTTTTCGGTTGGCCGGGCAATCGTCAGGGGGGTGGTCCATTACATGTATCTCGTATCTCAATGAAACTACAAACTCTTCTGTGGGTCCCAAACTTTGTTTTGGCTCCTTTGTTCCTTGTTTGGCCCAAGGTTCCTGTCGAACGGAGTGTGCACATATTGCCAGCCCACGTAGGTTTACTGAGACTCCTGTGGCACGAACAAAGTCATTCAGAATCACCTAGACTCCCATCAAAACGCTTGGCTACGCTCCTGCGCTCCTGTAGGCAGAAGGGTGAGTGGTGTTTTTCTACGAGTTCGCTTGGGTGTCCAAAAAAGTGAAGCTTTGGTTTCTCGTTGGTTCACCTCTCCTGCCAATTCACTTTTGGTGCCAGATCTTGAGCGGTACATGGTGGTCAAGACATCGAAGCCGCCCACACCAATGTAGGGCACCCAGCCACTCACTTCGCCAAAATGTGCGATGAAGGGCAAGTCCCAAACCTTTAAACCTGAAAGGGGCTGGAAAATGGTGAAAAGTCTGGCAATAGGGCAATAGGTGGCACGCCACTGAACAGCTGTGCAAGCATGTTCAAACATCACATGCAAACACGTCTTGAAAGCGTACCTTCTACAATCCCTCCACCAAAAACTTTCTCACAAAGTCCTGTGTTTTCCATCCCACCGTGGTGTCAAAAACACCTCAGTCCCAGGTTTCCTACTAAACAAACCATGAAGCTACTAGGTTGGATGCCATCGCTACTAGGTTGGAGGCCATTCCCGGGTTTCCTACTAAACCAAGCATGAGTCGTTCGCCTCTGTCTTGTGCCAGTGCCGCGATGCGCGGGCCCAAGGGTGTAAAGGCCACGATGGGGCAGCGGGGCAACTCTTCGCGGCGCCGGGCAGCCACGAAGTACTCCACCCAATCAGAGGAGCAAAGGAGGATCTCCAAATCCTCCAATCAGCGATTGAAAAATCACAGGAAGTTACGACTGGAGATGTTTGCAAACATTGGAGATGTTTGGGCCAAGGTCGATTGACTGTATGTAGTTGCACTTACTTAATGTAACTCAGAGGAGGTGTTCCATCCAATATGAAGCCAAAATCCATGCGAACCACAGCACAGGATAAAGCAGGCAACCAATTCGAATGAACAGTTGATGATTTTCTGAGGGTGGAGGCCATCGCTCTTAGGTTGGAGACCACGCTAGTAGGTTGGAGGCCATCCCCTCTAGGTTGGGGTTTCTAGGAAATTGGATTTGGCCGTTTCACCCCTGGGTGGCTTCGCTGTGTGAAAGAACTCATCTTGTACTTGGAACGTTTGTGCCTTTCTTTTGTCCCCAGAATAAGGAACTTGGAAACTCCTACACAAATCTCATCGATAAGTAGTATCAAATGGTCAAATCCAAGAAAACCATATCGAAACACTCGAAAGCTGTAGAAAGTTCTTCAAAAGAGTACCAGCTGTTCAATCCCTACTCAACCGGCAGTCCGTCCTGAATACTCCCTGGCGTTGGGGCAGTGGTGCCAGTCGTCGGATGACTCGCAGGGGCTGCAAGGCACACGGTATTGACACCCAAGCGCATCAAGGCAAGATCACACAGGAGCCTCAGTGATCATCTTCTAACATCGAAACTGTCTAGGCATGATGACAATGACGTGCATATTTTAAAGTGTATATATGATGGTACCCCCTCCCCAAGTGTCTACCTGTTTCTGGTGGTTCAGTGTTCGGACTTGTGATTTCAGTTATCGTTGGGCATTGTCGGCTGGCGAAGAGTTCAGCTAGTTCAGCTTGGCTAGATCGAGGTTCTATTCTTCTAAGCCTCTTTCGCCCCTTTCAACTCTTTGAGTCTTTTCAGCCTAGGTCACGCGCCCCCAAACTCCAAAAGCGAACCGCAAGACCTGTAAAAGCCAAACAATCAATCGAAAAATCTAAAGAAGCATACAATCTATTGGACCACGTGCCTGATTGCTTAGAATTGTTATAGTTTTTGAGCACAGGCAAATTTGGACAACCTGCTCTTCAAAGCATGGCCCGTGCCCATCATAGGTGAAACCTGTAGCTTTCCAGAAGGTTCCGAGACATTTGTACAGGTGCGGGGCGGGTAGCATGTTTGTGTGCCTTTGGAACCATTTGCGATAACAAGATAGAGAGAGAGAGAGGGAGGGAGAGAGAGAGAGAGAGAGAGAATGGGTGTGCATTAACACTGTGACGGTAGCAAAATGCAAACAAGAAATAGACTCTAGAAAAAAGAGTCTCAAGTTGTTCACTGGCGGGTTCAACCAAGCATTGCGGTGTTCAAAACAGTGTTCAATGCCTTGCATTCATCCAGGTCGCCAGTCCGCTGAGGAATCACCAAGCAAGCCCACCTGGGAACCTCTCTGCAGGCCAAACTTTCGGTGCAGTCCTGAAGAGATTCTCAGCACCTCAAACTGGGCATCGCCGTAACTCATCCAGACATAATCTCCCAAAGTGCCATCGGAATTCACCGGACGCTTGCCAATGCAGGGTCGCAGTCGATAAGACTCCACTGAACCATTAAAACCTGAAACAGGATCGTTTGGAATGAAAAAAGTACGTGATCTCCGCATGTTGAAGCTCAGCATCAAGAAGTAGTACAACAATCCAGAAATACCAATGTGCAAAGAAAAGGAAAAGGTACAATACAATACTCTGCCCAAAGACTATCATAGGGGCTTGAGGCAATGGTCTTCGCTGGCTTTTCAGCCTGCGCTTTGAGCCTCTTCCTGAAAGCCGAACTTGCCAGCTCTGCAGTAACTGAGAAGGTCCTCTCCAGTGGTGGGGACTCTTCCTTTCTTCTCCACCAAACGAGGCCTGGCACCAGCGCCAGCAGCGTCCCTGCGAGCAACATGAAGCTGCCACGGGGAAAGAAGTTGGAAAGCTCCCAGCGCGAGGTGCGGAGGAGAGCGCACTCCTCACGGCGACCGATCTGCCAGAAGAAGGGAAAGCATGCAAGTGCAATGGAAGATTTCACCCAATGATGGCTCATGGCCAAAAAGAGTCTTCTCCAACGCGGCTGACTGGCTTCGCAGGTCTTCTCTGGTCGAGTCCATGCGAAAGAGCAGCGAAAGCGAAAGAACGCCCTGATGCCGAAGTGATCACTCAAGTATTCAAAAGGCTGGTCTACCACTTCAAAGGGCTCCACTCTCGACTGTGCATGTTCTACCAACGATGATACAGTTGGCCGGTAGAAGACGTAGTCCAAGCGCTGTGGATACTTGTGACGCGCCACATAGCCTGCAGACGAGGGCATTCTCAAGCGAGGTGGTCGTGTGCAAGGGTGCCGCTTGCTGGGGCATTCGGAGCCCAAAGGATCTGATGGAGTTGGCCCACAGAGCAAATCCACCAGACGCCCCTTGGGGTCCAAGGCATGGATGAGCCGCTGATAATCTTCGGATTCTTGACGAGGTGGCCGAAAGGGAATGCCATAGGTACCCATTGGATCTGAAGGTTCGGGAATCGCATCCACATTGAAATCTCCGGTGAGAAGGTAAGGATGTTGGGTTCCCGCCAGCTCGACGAACTCACGCAGTTCCTGCAACCCGCTGCGGTGAAAAATGCATAGCAAGACATATCTAATCTAAGCATATGTTCTTCATCGTTAGGCTACAATGTTCATTGGCTTCGGACGTGACGTGATTCCGGGTTTGCCAACTGCTCACATTCAACAATGACCAAGCTTTTGCGCTGTCCTTTAGCTGTGATCTTCGAATGCGTTCAAAGACCTCGCCATCAGCTCCAGTGTGCGATGCTTGCAAGTGGCAGTTGAAGACATCCAAATACCGTTCAGAGGCCAGCTCAAACCTCTCAGGGGACCAAGTTGGACAGGACTCCCTTGAAAGGTCCCTTTTGGTGTCCTTCGGAAGTCCTGGTGGGTCATTGGGCTCGTAGTAGCAAGGGCATCGTTACTAGTAACAAGGGCATTACTAGTAGTAGCAAGAAGCTACTACAAGCATTCACAAACTCTCTCCGATGTGAAAGCAAGAGGGTTCCTCCAAGAAACCGGCCTGGCCCACATGGCACCTTTGCACGCCCCGGCATCCAGTGCAGCCCCAGCTCCAAAACGAATGGAGCGAGTCTCAGCCACCGGCAAGCGACTGAAGATCACCAGACCGCTGTCGGTCCATTTGCCTTTCCGGACGAGATCCAGGATCGTGGGCTTCGGCCCAATGATGGCGTGATAACCCAACCTGCAAACCAAGTTTGCATCAATTGAACAACAGGTTGCATCAACCATTGGTCCAACCTTCTGGTGCACTTAGGGGAAGAGAGAAGGTTGGAGGCCATCGCTAGTAGGTTGAAGGCCATCGCTATCATTTTCTGTTCTTAACACACCCACGACAGAGGCCAGGGGACGATGCCATGACGCGCACGGCAAAGGACTGTGCACAGCAGAAAGGCACGAATGGTGAGGCAAAGAGCTCCTGGACTGCGATGATGTCCGGTGCACGGGCACCATCAGCCTGAACAAGCCACATGTGATCAAAGCTGAGCTGTGACAAATGTACAGCATTTGTGATCCTAAGATTTCATTCTGAAAGGTCTGGATATTTGGCTTGAAGACAAATGACAGTTGCGTGGAGAGCTCGCGGCCCCTGGCTTTGAGCCATTTTCAGAATAGATGAAACGTCACATGCCAACTTTTGATAACTTTGCTTTATACAAACAGCGGCCTTGGAATTTGACGCTTCTGCTTCCAACTCTTGTCTGATCTTCTGGAGGAATGTTTGCAGCCGGGCACTGCTGTGCAAACTCTCATGACCGCGGATGGATGCCACACCAAAGGGTAAGATGTTCATGTTGAAGGATAGCACACTCAGATTCCGGAAGCCTGCAGGATTTGAGCAAACGGGATTGAACATGTGGCAGGCATGGGCCCAGTTGTGCCAACACCGATTCCAACTTGATGCTCCCCTGCTTTCATCTGAATCGTCTGAATATATACTATGTGACTATGTCTCTCTAGACTCAAGGCACTCCTCCACCCCTTCACTCTCTCCCCCCACCTGCGATTAGAGGTTCCAGCTCCCCACAGTTCACCTCACTCCACTTCTCTCGGGGCACACAAAGCAGTGTATCCTCTCTCCTCAGTTTCACAGCTGGAGGAACGCAAGATGTCAAAAGCCAAGTCCCAATTCCTGACCAGGCTGACATCCTGAGGCTGTGACACTGTGCATTGCTGGAAGACTTGATCAGCTGTGAACTTCTGCAAGCGCCGCAACATGTCCAGGTGCGCATTCTCCATCGCCCTTGAGGTGCCAGTTGCAAGAAGTTGCTCTCGCTGGTAGTCCTGGGCCGCAGCGACAAGAGACAAATTGAAAGAGCTGCCGTTGTTGAGCTGCCGTTTGCTTTCCACCCGTTGTGCACAGGAAGTGCAAAGCAAAGACCTCACGAGGACCAAAACTTTGAGCCTTGGGCAAGGCCACTGAGATTCAAACAGCTTTTCGGCAAGTCTCGTTGACAAAGTCTTTCTGTGACTGCTCCAACAGCTCGTCTATGCGCCACCAAGCCACCTCCCAGGTGGCTGCCAAGGCTCGCAACCAACTCTGACACTTCTTAAGTCCAAAATCCCATAAACTGTGAGGTCATTTTGCCAGCAGGTCACATCTCAGGAAAAAAATTAATGATTCGTCGTGCCCAACGGATCTTTGAGCTCCTTTCCCAATTGGTCCCTTCAACCCAGCGATCGCCTTGTGAAACATTGGGCAAAGCTGTGCCCTCAAAGCCTCCGGGATCTCAAAGAGCTTGTCACCTGCGGGATCGAAAACGGCGGCAGTGGCGAGCGCTAACGATCTTGAGCGGAGCGAGAACGATTCGGAAAGCATTCTTGTTTCTAGGAGGAAGTACTCCTAGACTTGCACATTGACCTTAAGAGAACTGTCCTTCTTTACGGCGAGGTATTTAGCCTTAGCCAAAGGCGAGCCTACCAGACAAGGGCTAGTAAACTCTGGGAAGCGGCCTTTCGCTTCACAGCAAGCTTGTTGACTTTCCAGGAACTGGTTCAACAGGTTCACAAAGCGGTCAGAGGCCCTGCGGCTCATGCTGCACACGAAATGGTAGGTCTTGTGGGTGCCGTTGGCCTCACAAGTTTTGCAAGACCTCCCACCGGGCACTTTGAGTTTCTTCCGTCTCTTCAGACTTCCTCCGTCATGTCTCTTTCCCGACCTGCAAAGTCACGTCAAAGAGCATGGCCCGCAGAGCCGCGAAGCCCAGTTCCTCTCGTTCAGCCACATAGGATCCTCAGATCAAACCCCAAATCGAACAAAGTAATGACATGGGGGGGTCAAAGCGCAAGTGATCGTTCAATATCCAGCGCATGTGATCGCAGGGGATTGGTGCACGAACGCTGCGAGACAAAAAGACCTTTTGCCGATGGATTGCTACGCTACGCTTGCGCTAAGGGACGAATGTAGCGCTGCGCCTTTTTCAGTCCCGCACTTGTGAGTCCTCGAAGGTGCGATACCAGCACACAGGGGAGGGTCATGAAGAGCAAAAGCCAACCAGCCAAAGAAAGGCTAAAAAGATATTACAAAATTCTATGTGTGGTTCTATTTTCTGAGTTCTTGGCTTTGTTGGCTCTGAAGGCCGTTATACGTTACGAATATTCACTCTGGACTGCTCTGCGCCTCGGATGGCGGTATCCAGCGGGGTCACATCCACCGCGGGCTTCCACAGGGCTCCCAGTAGCCGGAACTCCCCAGGGAAGTCAACCAGCACTCGACGTCCGGGCTCAGACTTCAAGTAGTTCACCACCTGGGCCAGCAACCAGCCAAAGGCCCAGAGCCATATGGAGATCACTTGACTCCAAAGCATCACGATTAAATCGGTGGATTCTACGAGACTGAGATGTGATGTGACTATCCTGATTCATTCTTTGAATTCTTTTCTAATAGCTTCTTGCTCCTAGTAGTACGGCCAGGAGCCCCTAGTAGCGTCCTTGCTCCTGATTCATTCTTTGTTTGATTCGATCTTCCAGGGTTGACAAAAAATGAAACGACGTCAGCTCTGTCTGCAAGGCCCGGATGAAGAAGTCCTGTGATTGCCGTCCATGATCCCCTTTGCCAAAAAAGACGTCGCTTGGAGCTACTATTGGCCACAATCTGCCGGAATTAAGTTGATGATGCATGATGTGGCGTTTTGTTCCTACGCCTATCATGCCCTGAAGCCAAGGAAAGCTCAAATCTCCCTGCGTGCCAGGCTGCTGTGTTCTGTGCGCACAAAACTTCCAAACTTCCATCGGGGGCAGATCTAATCGGCCTTGGGCAAAAATTCAACTAGTCCGGAGTCCAAAATTGAAACAAAGCCGAAAGCAAATCTTGTGCATCAGTCTACATCTGTTATGACTCGAGCAACCTTCTTCTATTCGCAACAATGTTGGCTCTTGCAGAAGTATGTACAAAAATGATGCTTTTTAGTAAGCAAGCACTTTCCCTGAGGGAAAGCAACACGGGAGGACTGGGCATGCCAAAGCAATACAGACTAGAACGCTGAAGATGGCGACTGCACCTATGATTCAATAAATGAAACATGGAACGCTTCTCACAGAAACAGTTGCTGTTGGAGCTTTTGGGTGCCTGCCCTGATTGTCAAAGAACCACTTTTGCTCACCGGTGGTCAAAGTTCTCAGAGATCTCAATCGTCCAAAGGCTGTCAGGAGAGATCTGCACATGATGTTGAGTTTCTGTGTCCCAGAACAGTGCTTCTGGGGGCATGGTTCCTTGAGGCGAAGACCATCGCGGACCGGCACCCCAACCTCTGGCCGAGACACATGATGGTTGCTCCCCAACGCATGGGTATCGAACCCTTTCGAGGGGAGAAGCCTCGGCCATCAGGGCCCTCCTCCTGGATCCGTGCCCTTGGAGAGGTCTCGTCCATTTCCATCGCGTCGCTCGGTACACGAGGTCGGTTCTGCTCACGCGTCTCCATCTCGCACGGCGGACGAGTCTTGCAGAGGGACAGGGTAGACACTGAGTTAACTTAGTTGAGTTCCAGCTAAAAGACTTGTCTAAAGGTACCAATCACCAGTCTAGAACTTCATTGCGAGCCAGAAACTGCACGACTTGCAGCCTCTTTCTCTTGTAAATCGTTGTTGGGATTTGCAAAATCTCATTGTACCGCTCAAGTTTGTTTCATTTTAATTTGATATAATCGAAATCAGCTGCGGCGAAAAGAGTGGCAACACTACGCAGGTCGCCGAAACAAGTGGCAACTCAACTCCACAACGGTCCCTCCACTTGGATCGTCCACAACGACGCAGGCTCCACTGTCGGCCGCTCCGCACGACGTGTCCGAATGCCAAGCAAGACATGTCGGGCATGGCCTCTCGCATTTTCAAGTCCATGTCCTTGGTGGAACTAAACACAGGTGGAACACGAGAGTAGAGGACTTGCTACAGGACTCTCCAAGAGCCTGGCGGTGGCCATGTGTAGAACAGGCACATTGCCCACGTCTTTGGCAACCTCCAGAATTGGCAGCAAGTCCTGCGCTTGAGCAACAAGTGCATCGCTACTAGTAGCAAATGGCATAGAGTTTCTTCTCCAAACCGAAAGGCTCTGGTGGGATCGGCATCAAACGACAGGTGCACCCCAACGCATCAGTCCATATGGTAGACAGTCACCTCAAAGAATCGGAGCCACAGGCGAGCGAAAAAGCTCCTGGTAGCGAACCTTGTTCCTAGTAGTACGGCCAGGAGCCCCTAGTAGCGTCCATGTTCCTAGTAGCGTTGCCAGGAGCCCCTAGTAGCGAACCTTGTGCTAATCCGAAAAGTAAAGATCGCTTCTTTTGCCCTGTTCTTGGTCAACATGGAGTGGAGCAGCACAGCAACACCATGGAGTGAGTTTGGCACAGAGGGGGGCAATTATATAAGCATGTCATGTTTCACCTTGATAGCCTCAGAGCTTGAGCATACTAATTGAATTGTATATAAATATAATATGGCGTGGAGTGACTGCTTTCTGCACTGCTAACACAACCTGAAACCTGATGTATGCTCCACAAGAATTCTAGGCGGGGTAATCCGTCTTCGACAAATGGCTTGCATCAAGAAAGGCGATACAGAAGAAGTTGACGGTCGAAAGCAGCAAGTGCCAGCATGTATGCCCTGTTCAAGTTCCGCTTACACACTGAAAAGCTGCACAGGTGTGCACATTTGTTGCTAGGACGAGTTGAACGATGTCGGTCTCCTTACAAGATGGTCACCACTTCACACCTTTGCACCAGGGCTCCAGGCTATGATATCCGGCCGAAGTTCCAAAAGCACACTTCGAAAGGCGTCCTGAAGGAAGCCAGCAACGCGAGCATTTCACCCCTCATAAAGCCATGTGCCACAAAATAGAAGAAGTAGAAAGTCCAAGAGTACATGTCATTCGAGGCCTGTTTTGCAACAATGCCCATTTTTCCAGACACAAAACAAACGATTTGCCCATCCGCTCGACTGTGGATGGCCTTGGTTGGGGTGTTGCAGCTTGGTGATGGACAAATTGGATGCAAAGGCCCGAAGAGCAGCGACCCTAGGGTGACAAGTATCACGCACCGTGCACATCACACCCAGGTGTTTATGCAGGGACAAACAAGCTAGGGCTCTTGCTTGCAGATTCAAGAGCATTCTCTACATTGTACATCTTCCTGGAGTGGAGTCCAATTCCATACAGATTCTCAACAAGGAGAGAAAGGCCACTAGAGGTGCCAAACTCAAACCCGTGCCTTTGCAACTCCTTTTGCAAGGCTTGTCTTGTATCGGACCAGTCTCGAAACGCGATGCGCAACGAAACCTGTGGGAAAGCGTTTCGAAACTGGCAAAATATGGCCATGCAGGAGATGCATGGCGTATGGACCCCATACAACCACACATCTCCTTGAATGGACTGAAAGTCGCATGGCTGAACGCCTTTGGCGAGAAGGTCTGAAAGGATGGACAACAAAGCCCATCGTTCCGCATGATTGGCTCGATCGTGCTCCACAAAGATCGGTGATAAAGGCACTTCCTCTACTTGAATTAACCGCTGTTGACCTACACCTTGTGCAAAGGTTGGCCTCCCTTCCATTTGAAGTCGAACAATGTCGTCACTAAGCGGGCTTTGAAGGTCGTATGCAGACCACACCAGCAGCTTCCGTGCAAGGGCACGCTCTGGTAAAGCAGTACTTTGTTGCATGAATTTCCGCTTCAAAACACGCAAAGCTGCTTTCTCTGCTCTGTGCCACCAGCTTCGGCCGGGCCAAGGGAAGCCAAGATCAACCAACGCCTGCCCAGTGAAATAGGGCCCAAGGCCGTACTGCTCTTCCAAGCGAACATCGGAGGGTATGGAACCAATTGAATCTGAGGATTCCGAGGCCAAATTTGCCAAAGAAGATAAGACTGGCTGATAGATCACCTCTTCAAAGAGCTGCAGCGTTTCCGTCATGTTCAAAGCATTCTTGTGCTGTGGCTTACGCTTGGCTCGTAGCAAGGCTTCAAGCCCTGCCACAGCACTTTTGGTGATCTCCTGACATCGCACGCGCAAAGAATCTGAATCTGGCTCAAAAGCCTCAGAAAGGTCCTTTCTCTGGTTCAGGGCTTGCAGCACTGAAGAATTCAGATCAACCAAGACGGAAAAGCTGATGGATGGATTGGGTGGGTCAGGAGACCGAGGAGACGTACATGCCTCCAAAACGGAGGCCACGTGGAGCGGCCCAGGCTGCATGTTTTGCTCTCGCATGTCATCTAACACTCTTATCGCCAACTGCCAGGCTGCACAATGCATCAATGAGGAAAGAAGCGCAGCAAATGTCACTGTAGACTTCGATGCCGGAGCCGAGTGAGTAGCAGCAACAAGCAGCGCGAATTGCCAATTGCATCCCTTTTCACAGGCACTGATGACAGCGTTCACTGAAGTGAGATCTGGCTGCAGCAACATTATCTGCATGTCATTGAACAAGGCGATTGCACCACTCCAGTGTCCGCCCCTCTCACACGCGCTCATTGCAGCATTGAAGCAAGCTAAATCTGGTGTGATGGACTCCCTTGACGTCAATTCCGCAAAGAGCTGGACACTACGTTGCCAACGACGGCTTCGGGCACAGGAAACCAGAACCGAAGTGATTGAAGCCGCGTCAAGGACTGTAGAAGCCTCCAACGCATCTTTCAGAAAGCTCAAGGCAAAAGGCCATGCATTTCCCTGTGCGCACAAAGTGGTGATGGTGCTTAAGGTTTTGGGACTCGGATGTAACCCTTTGTGCAAAAGCTCTTGGTGTAGCTTCATTCCCCGTTGCCAGCGGCTAGTGCTAGAGCCTGTGCCTGTGAAAGACCTCATCGTCGAGTTGAAACTGATGGTGTCCGGCTTGACCTGACTTTCATCCATCTCCTCTAGCAGCCTGCAGGAATATTCCCACTGCCTGGCGCGGGAACATGCACTGATGGTGGCATTCCAAAGAATAGCGTTCAGCCCATAGGGTGAAGCCTCGCTCAGCAGTCTCAAGGCCTCCTGCCAGAAGGAGCCACGGTCACAAGCGGCCAAAGCAGCTCCAAAGCTCACGACGCTCACGGAGGCATTCTTCGCCAGTGCCTCGTCCAACAGACTGAGGCTCCTCCGCCATTCATGGCTGCGGCACAAGGCTGTAATCTCCTTGTTCAAGGCCGACGCTTCCAGGTTCAGCTCTAGCACACGGCCGCAACGGCGAATTGCATGTCTACAAGTTCTCATAACCAGTGAAACAAAGGAATACAAAGGAGTCTTTGCCCAAACACCGAGCTTGGAGCCAATGGTAGCAAGCCGGGAGCACAGTTGGGAGCTCAGAAATTGAAAGGACCTCTGACTTGCACCAAGGCCAAGGCCATCTCAAAATAAGTCTGTTGTACCACATGTCCATGATGTTGGCTGAGGCACAGACTCAAGGGATCTGAAGTAAACGAAACTTGGTCTACAAGCAAGACCATGCTGTCATTCTTCAAGTAAGACCGAGGCTGCCCAACTCCTTTTGCATCCAGCCCTTGCGATGGAAGGAAGCTCTTGCACTACCCAGGTCTTACCCCTCAAACTCTTTTTCGCTCCTCAAATGGAGGGTCACGGGTCGTATCCACAGAGTGCACGTCGAAGTTGGCCCCCTGACCAAACAAGGTTGACATGGTCTTCATTGCAGTTGTCCGTTTAGACTCACCTTGAGGATCTCTTCTACTGCCTGCTGAGCAGACCTGTGTCCATCACCAAAGCTGCAAGTGAAAATCACCTCGGACCAAGTCACAGAGTGGCAGCGTGAGGGACCATCAAACAGAATGACGCAAAGTCAAAAAGGTGTGCCATCCACGGAACATAATCTAGCTATAGCAGGAAACAGGTCTGAATGACATGTTACCAGGCAACAAAGCGGAACACCACGCAACAAGGGCGCAGGCTTCTTCAAGTAGAGCAACAGCAAAAATGAATAGATTAAAAAAAATTGTTTGAGTCTATTTTGGATATTTTACAATGGTTTCAGTACCCAATGCAGCATCTCAAGCCAAGCGGCTGCACGACGAAGAGGCCCCAAGCCTTCCAGAGATTGCTTCTTTCGCACAGCGAATCGGTTTCATGACACCCTCACCTGGCTGGAATGGTGGAGCTATGCCTTTGAAATAGTGAACGAAGTTGTCCGCCTGCGAGGGTCGTCAATGGACAACATTAGTTTCCAAAAGGCTTCTAGCCTTCCTAGCTTTTCTAGTCAACGAAAGACACATCAGTTGTGAAGTCCTTTTGCCATGGTTCCTACCTCAAAAGTTCCCACACTCTTGCCTCATTCTCGGGTACCGCGTTGAGCTCATCCTTAGATATCTTGAAGGCAACATTGTCTCTTGCACAATTGCACAAGACTAAAATGACTAAAAGAGAAACCGATGCCATTTCACGGCCATGTCTCCATGCTCATAGCTTGTAGACGCTGGATCCTGCAAGGTGGTCCTATCACTCCCTCTCACCGACGCAAACATCTGCGACCGACTGCGACCGCCTGCGAAGATCCTCCGCCAGCTGCCACAGAAGGCCCTCAGTACCAAGTGATTGCCGACCGATTGATGAGCGCGAGGGTGTTCGAAGGCAGATCAGTGTCCCAATCCGAGAACAAATAGAACTGTCCACTTTGCTCATTAAAAACAAAACTGATGCGGCACAGTCAGCATGGAAAAACGGATCCTTCATGAGAAACCGTCGGCAAGTCTTGCCAGGGTCTCAATATCTAGTGCACTTTAAATTTGCAGCCAGTCTAGGAGTCCAAGGCCATGACACGAGGCAAGCTTGTCCCTTGAGTTGCATGGCGGTTCTGCACACGGAACAAATAGGCTAGAGTTTCGGGACGTGGCTCGTTTCAACGCCCTTTTTTCTGAGCAGTATATAAAACCAGACACCTTTTACTTCCAAGCAGTGTCCTGGAAATGCAGCTCCAGCAGGTGATAGAAAGCTTGGGAGTCACCTGTGACTCATGAGATTGAAAGCTTGTGACTGAAGTCCCGGGTTTCTCAATTGAGACGAATCAACAAACCACCTCAGGATCCCGAAAAAACAGACCTTCTCACCCGCTTCATGGACCGTCCCGAGCACCCGAACGATCGGTGCCATCGCTGGCGAAGCGCCGCTTTCCGCTGAGGTGTTGTAGAAGCGATGCAGCACTTCCTCCACTGGACACTCGCTGGACACTCGCTAGCAGCAATTCTGAAAGTGATGGTGGTAGTCTTCACAAATCTTTGCATCTCCATGATTCCTCCCTACATTCCACGTTCTCCCTCTACTACAAAAGAACAATGCAAGTGATGTATACATGTACGTGGTGCATAACTGACATTTTCTCGGTATTAATGATCAATCTGGTGCATAGCTTAATGTGATTGTGATCTAGTAAATGCACATGAATGTGTTAAAGTAAGTTCACACGCATCGGCCACAAATTAGAGCGTCTGCCAAAACGTTCTGCCAAGCAGAGTAGGCGTTTTGAGGGGGCATATTGCTTTTGCAGGTTTCAGCCACTCAACATAGCCAAAACACTGCGGAAATATGGTTATTGCTTTTGAGGGGGCCTACCGCTTTTGCAGGTTTTGGCGGTTGCTCATATAGTCACGTTAACGGTTTGGCGAATCAAAAGTATTAGAAGAAGAAAGGAATAAAAAGACAAACAAAATAGACGCTATCAAATCTTACTGTCACCTTTGCTGTTCTATCTGATATGTCGTGGGTGCCCCTAGGCTGATTCTGTACTTCTGCGTATGGCTTGCATTCCTCCTGGCCAATTCTATCGCGACCATTTCTTGCTTTGTCAGCCGTTAGAAATGTGGTGCCTGGATCCTTAGCCAACTTCTGCTTGACCTGGTCACCTGCAATGGCCATGATAGATGCAGGTTGGAACTCCAAGCAAAGCGAACCCCACATGGAAAGGCCAAAACCCAAGTGCGGCTCTTCAATACACCATGACTCTGTTTGTTTACAAACAAGTGACCAAGTGTTTCTAGGCCTTCCTCAGGCACCAAGAAAGTGCAGAATTGTTCCACCTCCTTTATGTCCTGCTAAAGGTGAGAGGCTTCCCCAAGCAATCACAAATGCTTCAAACACAAGATGAAGCAAGCCGATGCACAACCAAGGCCACTGACCTCTCCTGTGGCTCTGGCGCAAGAAAGGAAAAAGACTTGTCCTTCCGCGGCCCGGCACAAGACTGGACCACAAACTACAAACTGTTTTGCATGCACGGCTGGCCTCTTCCTCTTGGAGGCCCGGCCTGACCAGCAAAAGTGACTTTTAGTCGGGATGTAACGGCTATCGGCTATTTCTGATCTAACAATGTTGCCAAGGGGCTCCAACAGACGCTGGGTCTCCTGCGAACAGGTGCTACAAATCAGCCGAGTATCTGACATGTTTGAAGCCTTGGCCGCAGTGTGACTACCAGCTACGACTCAGAAGCTCCTCATCATCACGCCTCGCAGCGCAGGCCAAGAGCGCACTAGCAAGCCAAAAGGCTGCATGCATCTGCATGCAGTCTCCTGGAGCAAGGTCAGGAAGCATAAATTGTCCTCCGGCCTCCAGCAAACGATCCAAAATCCAAACGATGAGGAAAGGACATATGCTTGGCTCCATAGCACCGATGATGTTCTCCGAGCCCTCCCTCAGACCGCGCGAGGTGTTCACTTGAGTGCCCTCAACAGCCGACTGTCTGGCACACTGACTGACCAGGACGTGCTGAGGGGCCAGGCTTTAGGGAAAGAAGTCTGCAGGCTACGTTGGTTTGAGCCAGCTCATCTCCGACAAAGGGCACATCACTGCACTTTGGTAGATAGTGAATGCTCACTGCAAAAGGCAAACCTCTGGCCTTACTCATTTCGCTGACAAATCAGCTCCATATGTGTTCAACTAAGAGAGTCCAATGGTGGAATTCATCCAGCTTGACTCTATTAAAACTTTTGAAGTCGCAGTGCAAGGCCAACCCCTGCAAATCTTCGCAGGGGTTGTAAAGCCAGCACGACACAATGCATGGACAGCTTTCTCAGCCATCAAAGGTTCAATTGCAGCTGCGCAGCTACAAGAACAACATTAGCGAAGGAAAGCGCCAATAGCTTTTCCCGTCAGCTTCTCACGAGCGAACCCTCCGTTGACGATCTGCAAGGAAAAGGAAGTGGCTATATAAGAAGTGTGGAAATCACAACAGGTGGCAAGCAACAACCCAAAGCTTTGCGCCTTTTCTTGAACCCAAACCTTTGCAGATTGGAGGAAGAACAAAGTGATGTGTCAATGAAAAGGTAATTGAGTGCCAAGCTCAAAGCATTGTACAATCAGCTTAGGAAGGCTCAAGAAATGGCTACGATTTCAGTTGCACCAAGTAGCACATATATCCGAAGATTGGAGGCGTAACCTGCACCCGCAAGTAGCAAACTCTGTGGTATATGTTCTTGAGCACTTTGATTGAAGCCATGAAGCCTGGCTTGCGACATCATAGGCCTTGGCATTGTGTAGTAAGACACGTCTTTCTCCCAGTGGTCAGTACAGCTTCCTCTTCAGGACTCTGGCAAGGGATGCAGATCGATGCAAAGCAGCTTCAGTCACCTGAGGTTTCGGCAAGAATCTACAGCTCCAAACTTGAGAAGCAATCCTTTCAAGGCAACCAAGCCTTGTTGACAACTGTTGAGGTTGCATCGTTCACCTCAGTTTGCTTGTGATTTCATTTGCAAAGGTCAATGAGGCCCAAGCATGGCAATGTAGTTTCTGTTGGTGAACAGGTGTCGGTTGCAGAAAGCTGCACTTAAGCTGTGCTCTTGCTCCACAGCTCCAGCAGCAGCGCGGACCATATCACCTCCGGACCAAGAAGCAGCCTATGGGAGCAAAAAATAATCAACAGGTGCTTAGAAGCTACTAGTAACAAGGGCATCGCTACTGGTAGCTCCTGGCCTTACTACTAGGAACAAGAAGCTACTAGGAACAAGGGCATCGCTACTAGTAACAAGGGCATTACTACTAGTGACTTTCAACTCGATGCAAGAAAGCATCAACATCCCGATGAGCCAACTCGGTGCCTGCGTTGGTGGCCAACTCTGAAGCCGATTCGCTGATAGCATACCTTGAAAAACAGCCTGAAAACTGAAATCTCATCCTCTAGAAGCAAGAGCCTTTTTAAAGTCATCCACATGTTGCCTGTTCACTCAACCCACTGCCACACAAAGATCATGCCATAGTTTGGAACTGGAAATCAGAAGCACAAAAAGGAAGGGTGCAACTTCTGCTAGAAGAAAGAACCCCCAATAGCTCTGAGCTGAGGAAAAGATGAAACAGGAAGTGCATTTTGTCCCCACCTAGTGACCTGGTTTTGCTCCACGAAACTCGATGCACAATTTCACAAGGAGGTGCCACACATCCAGCTGTAGAAATCTATCTTCAGTCTCGCAGAAGGTTAATAATTTTCATGCTGACTGTGTCATATCACATGGAGACCAAATACCAAATATTTGAGAGGTAGATGAGGACCTTGCAAAAAGAAACAAGAGGTTGGAATCGACTGCTCATATTAGCAAGTGTTCGATCACAGGTCCGTACGCAATTACCCATTCAGACATCCACACTCTACATAGCAGTTCTCTTCCAGTTGGCTGGAACAGTTGATTCTTCTTGTTACTAGTAGTAAGGCACTTGTTACTACTAGCTTCTTGTTACTACTAGTAAGGCACCTGTTACTACTAGCGATGCACTTGTTCCTAGTAGCAAATGTCAGATTGAGATTATGCTGAACAACAAGATGTGTGTTCGTTCTTTCCTGGTCCCATGCCCGGCCTTTGATCAAGCTCCAAACTGCGTTCCAACAAGTGATGGGCCTTAGACATGAACATAACACCTGTCAATGGTGCAAACGCTACAAATGATTATTAGTTTCAAACTCCATCCGTCATGGTCTGCTTGATAGCCAGCTCCTCTTCAATCTCCATTGCCTTCATTCATGCATTTATGAAAGGAAAAGAACCACGTCAAACAGGAAAAGTGCCGTTATCTCTCAAAGATCTGTGTGCGTGTGGATGCGTTTGTGTTCAAAAATTGGCACAGGCCACAAAGGTTTTGTTCTTCGCCTTCGCAGCTGCCACCACCGCTGCAGTCTGGACGCTGGACACTGCATTGCGAAGCCTCGGTCGCACAGATTGTGACGTGCACTGCCGCTTGGCGCTCTATCTTTCGGGGAGCTGCAGAATCAAAGACAAAAACGATTGCCGTGTTCCTCATCCATTTAGAAGTCACACACACTTTGTTTGACCTTGTCCGAAAGTCAAAAGCTGCAGCTACAAGTGAGCTGCGAACAAAATGCCAAAAACGGTAAATAAACAGACTTGCATTATTGACATCTTCAAGTTGTCACGAGATGAGAAGCAAGTGATTTGAAGCTTTTGCTTCTTCCAACGGGCTCAAATTTATCAACAAAGTACATATTTTAAGTCAATCAATATCGCTCTTTCAAGGCTTCAAACTGAGCTTCCTGCCCTGCTTCCTGGCGCTAACAGCCACATTCCCAGGCAGACAGGTTCCAAGAAACCCATTAAAGGAAGAGAAGAAAACCAGTCGAGGGTGTAGCTGTGTAGCTGTTTGGGTCACAACGAAGACACGCCGCTCTCATTCATTGGCTGCAATCTGACTCTCCCACTTGCAGCCATTGAAAAGTTGCTAAGTAAGCGACCACCTTCGCTCCGGCACCAGCCCTCAGTGCTTCACTGTGAATGCTTCACTGAGGGTTCTTTCAGTGTACATGCCATAAAAACGTCCAGCAACAATACACATTCGGCGGTATTTTGATTCTGTGTGGGTTGGTCTGACTCTGCGAGGCGCTAATACCTCTTGACAGGTTCAACCAAATAGAATCGGAACAACGCAATGCCTTGGCCACCGACAGATTTGTAACCCAACAAGGAATAGGACCAACCTCAAGATGCCTGCATCTACAAGCGCAAAGCATATCTCGCAAGCAGGGAATTGCAATGTGCTCTTCAAAACAGAACAAACGCCTAGCACACTTTAGGGGACAATCTTGTAGGATGGTTTGTCCTATTAAATTGGAATTCTGGGGTATTATCTGCCATGGACCAGAAGCATAAGCAGCACTTGCCGAAAAGCATTCTACCTAAATTTGTTGTGGCCTTGAATGGCAGCATGTTCACTTTCGGTGTTATGGGAAATCTAGTTGCGAGAAGTTGGTGCAGCCACCTGCACAAGGCATCGCTAAAGTGGCAGCAATTCCGATTCAAGACGTCATAGTCGCTACCTGACCATTCCATCATTAATCAGAAGGAAAGCTCAGGAGGATGAGTGGCAGCCACTGCGCATGTGTGAAGACGAAACGTACCCGTTGCATCACAGCGTGGCTTCTTTTGCTCTCAGCATCTGGGCCTCTGCAATCAGATCTCAACAAAACATTCTATACATGTTGAGCCCAGTTGCCAGCATGCACAGGTGCCGCTCCGTGAACTACCACGCAAGCTTTACCTGTAGCACTCACATGACTCACGCGGCAAAGATTGCCCGTGCCTTGGCATAGAGTGCCTTACCCTGAGCCGTCTTTCCATTCACAAGGCAGAAGCCCTTGATGCCCAGCTCTTTTCTGGCCTTCATCACAGCAGTGTTCCATGCAGAGATGTTCTTGTAGGCCTTCTTGCCAGCAGCGTTCTGCAACTTCGACACAACCTTGCCCCTCTTGTTCTTCATGAGATCGGTTTTGGCATGGCCTGATGCAGTCTTCTCCTTGTTCCCCTTGAAGACGGACACTTTTGCCAGCTTGCCTCGTGCAATCTTGCTCACGGCCTTCTTCTTCATGACCTTCATTGTTGTCGGCTTTGCAGCCTTTTTCATGGACTTCATAGCGGACTTCATCACGGACTTCTTCATGGGAAGAGCCATCTTGACCGAATGAAAATGCTTGAGTCCAAGGCGTAGAGAGTTGCTAGCAAGCTTGGGCCAAATCCACACATCACTGAATAGTAGCAGAGCCACCCCCAAACTTTTCTGGTCATTGCTTTGCATCACAGAAAAGGTTTTTGAAGAACCTGTATCCTGAGGCCCAGACCACGCCAGTCCTGCGCCAACGTGGTTAAAAGCATCATGGCTTCCTGGCACTTGCAAATGCTAGTGGTGCATGAATGATGTCAACATTGCTTCATTTGTATCACAACAAAGCAAAGCATTGCTGAATATTGTATAATGAAAACATAAAGCTTCGCAAAGTAACAAAAGGTGCATGCGACGATCTTTGCTGATAATCATGAAGTATGAAAAATGATGACATGAAGCTTCAGGTCCTCCTTGCCCAAAGGCGTTGCACCCATGCGAACAGCCTTATGCAAGACTTGTTCAGCAAGTTTGAAATCCATCCGTCTCTGTGTGGAAGGGTCAGAAAAGAATCGTCCGCCTCTCTGTATGCGTGTCCTCCACACTCTCCTGGATCACCTGGCAGCTAGTGCAAGCAAGGGATGCACACAGCAGTGGTGAGAACCCATGCCAAGGTGGCAAGAGAAAACGCCGCTCCCATCATCAGTGAAGCCAAAGCTCCATTCCAAACCATAGACCTGCTCTCCAGCAGCTAATTCCACTCCCTTGTTTGGCTTTTCCACTGCTGCTGGCACTTCATGCCATGCCTCCACTCCGGCATGAAAGGCACCAGTACCAATCACACGGCACAAGCGGTTCAGGCCCGAGACAACCTTCTTGCAAGCCACTTGCAAACACACAAAGCGTGGAACACGGGCCTCAGCGCCGGTGACGTCGTAGATTCGCAGCCTCAACTCTGAGTGCCACATCCGATGAATAAATGGCTGGAAGAGACAATGGTTTTCTGTGCACTTTAAAAGAATAGGTGTCCAACATCACCGTGCCTTCGTCCTCACTCCTTCACGAAGAGTGAAGAGAAAAAAGATTCAATTATAAAGATGGATAGATTGGACAGGTAGATGAGCAAATAGGTAGACAGGCAAATAGGTGGACAGGCAGATGGGGAGGTGGGTGGATGGATTGATGGACGGACGGACGGACGGACGGACGGATGAACAAACGATGAATTGGGTAGTTCAGATAGATCGATTGATATGACATTCACAAGATGGATGGACAGGACGTTTGATTGCTCTCTGAAAATATGTTGTCATGAACCAGCCCGAACAGTCCTGGTAAGTGAGGTCGACGCTTGATATAGCTGACTGTCACGTGCCTGCTCCAAAAGTGACAACATGGCATCACTTCGAGAAGTGCCAGAACTGCTGCATGTGCATGTGATATTCTGCTCATCCCAAAATTCCAGACTCTGAAAAAAGATGTATACTGTATACTGTAACTATACTAGATACTGTAAGAATAAAACACGCACGGCAGAAAGCAAAATGCCTCTGCTGCTGGAGGCCCCCAAGAAGTTTCAAAAGGCGCAAAGCTCTGCCGTGCTCGCAACTTGCGGCGCTGCCCGCTGCTGCGTCGCCTGGCGTGCGCAGCAAGGAGCAGAACACTCGTTCAAAATATTCAACACCAAAATCAATGCCTTGGCGCATCTTCAGCATGTGTGTCCTGCTTTTGGTTGAACTTTGCACATGCAATGATGTAAATTTGACTTATGGTTGACTGGAATCGGCCAGCGACACCACAGGTTGGACACCTGTTTCTTTCACTGCATCTTCCCCACCACTCCTGGATCTCACCAGGCAAAGCATCCACGGCATGGCTTGACATGGACCTGATCCATGCAATCAATCCTTCGTATGTATCAAGAACTTGTTCTAACCTCAGCTTTCAAGAGACATGTTGGTAATCGAGCTTTGGCATTCAAAGAACAAAGTTGGTGTTGTGAACCTACATTTAGCCTTTGGCCATTTAGTCCATTCAAACGTTAGTTTGAATGTCTAGAAACATGGTAGCCGATCTAATCATTTTCGAACCTAACCCAGCTGAAGAAAATAGACGTGCATCCTTAAAAGGACTGGATCTGTCTGGGGCAAGTTCTGCTTACAATTAAGAGCAATGAGGGCCTAGTGACCTAGTCCACGAAAAGGAGGTCCACTAGGTTTTCCCACTCAATTTCCGTTTGAGGTGCTTTTTGGATCACATGAAACTGTGGGGTTGGAAAAAGTAATCAATGTGAGTCTCACTTTGCTGCCAATGGGCCGATGAAAGAAAACTGCGGAGCACTGAGTGCTTTTCTGTCCAAGCAGGGTGCGCTCCCTGAGATATGTACACGTTGCTCCACATCCGCAGCGAGGTCGTGTGCCTGACCTGCGCGGGAGCCTCAACTTCTTCGCTCACTTCTTGTCCTTCTTCTTGGCAGTTCTTCCAGCTTCCTGCTCTTTCACCTGCTCTGCAGAATGAAAAGTCTTGGAAAATAGCCTATCGCTAATGGGAAGACCTGCAAGTTACAAAAAGCAAGCACATCAGGACGTGAAGAAGACACCCCACTTTCAAACACACGACTCTCGAACGAGTTCTCGATTGTTCAGTCGCCTGAGTGTAGGACGCAGAGCTTTTTCTAGCTCGAAAAGGCGTGGGGTCATCGAGCTAGGTCATCAAGTTTGACAGAAAAGGGTCAGGATGCTTCTTCAACCAGTGGCCCAAAGAAAGGGTTCTCATTCGCGAGAAGCTCTTCGCGAGCTCATTAGTTGGAAAACAATACCCTCCCTGCACAAAGGATTGAAACACTCACCAGGCATTCTTCACTCCGGACTCTGGCACGAGCGGCGCGCGCCTAGCCTAGCCGCCCCAGAGTCGCAACTCCAGGGCGGGTGGTGTGGGAAATTTCTTAGCCTGGCTCGAGTGGCAATCTCGCCAAAATGGCAATGAGTGAAATCATAGCAAATAAATAACATGATCAGTGACTGAACAGTGTGCTCTAAAGTGAACCTCTTGTCCTACCCACCAACCGATACAAGAGACCCACTTTCAAACACACGACTCTCGAACGAGTTCTCGATTGTTCAGTCGCCTGAGTGTAGGACGCAGAGCTTTTTCTAGCTCGAAAAAGGCGTGGGGTCATCGAGCTAGGTCATCAAGTTTGCTTCTTCAACCAGTGGCCCAAAGAAAGGGTTCTCATTCGCGAGAAGCTCTTCGCGAGCCCATTAGTTGGAAAACAATACCCAGGCCCTAACCCTTCATCAGTCGCAACCAACGACCTAGTCGAGCGACAATGCAACAGGCCATTGAGCCGGCACTGTCTGCCATCCAGCGTGAGCGCCCAACTCCAGGTTATCCCGGGAAGGGGGGTCTGCCGGATTTGCGTCCGTCGCCACTCTATCAATAAAAACGCGAGCTTGCAAGTTTAACACTAGGTCCCAAAAGACTGAAACGAGCAAGCACAAGTCTTCACGACTTGAATACCCCTTCACGAGCGAGGCCTCAACGACTTCCGAATCTATGAAGACGAAGATGTCCGCTCGGAAAAGTCTTTCTGAAAAAGTTTCGAGAGCTACGATGGCCGCGAGCATCTCTACAGGGATGATCTGAGTTTTACGGACCAACCACCTGTCTCGCAACTCCTTCGGCACTCGAGCGGTGAACTGCACAGGTGAAATCATGCGCCTATCAAAAATCACTCCTCCTATCCGATCTGGCCTACGATTGTCTTCACGGGGGTCCGGTGAAAACCCATCAGTGAAAATGAACGAGCACAGTTCGATCGTCCGGGGTGGTCCTCTGCTGACAAGTTTGAGCCACTGCCTCAGAGACTCCTCGAGAGGTGGATCGAGCACGAACGAATCATTCGAAGGAAAACGAGCGTACTGCCTCTCCGAGATCGATCGAAGAAAGGCTCTTCCCACTTTGCCCCAGAGCTGGCTTGCGCCAAACGTGAGCTTGCCTTTAAGCTTTCCAGCGTGGCCAGGCTCTAGGACTCCCGAGCGGAGCACGCTCTGGATCTCATCAATAAGCTCTTCACGCCGATTGGCTTTGATTTCTAGAACCCAGTCCGAAAGGTTGTATGTCACACCTAAGACTACAGGCTTGTCTGTCAGTTGGAGCTTCTTCGGGTCGAACGCCGCCCCTAAGAGCCAGTGTATCCTCTGAGCTACATGAAAGGCAGACTCAACTGAACCGAGCGGCTCAAAGCCATACCTGTCGTCGTAGAAGTTGAACGCAACCAGGTTGAACAACCTCAGGAGAATCTCATTGATCGCTGCCGATCTGCGGTTGTAGTTGTAGACTGCCGACACAAGCCCAAAGGAGTGACCGACCATGACAAAGAAGGCAGGTTCGAGCGACACTGGCGATTTGATGCAAATCACGCTGAACTTCCGGTGATCCGGACGAATAGCCACTTGACGATAGGCTTTTCTCTCATCGAGCACCCAACCAGCAAACTTAGCACCAGGCATTGCCGATCGCATCATGCGCAGCGCTGCAACATTGGTGTCTGTCGATGGCAGTTGCAATTTCTCGGTGATCACCGTCACCTGGTTGATCATATTTGTAGTCGCACTGTCGCAGCCTCGAACTTTGTTCTTCTGCACAACTTCGAACCTTTGAGTTGGTATCCAGTCATCACATTGAAGCACTTCAGACACCTGATCAGGGCTGGAGAAAGGCCTGAGAGTGGATCCCTCAGACACGTCCTCCAAGGTCGCTTCCCTGATCTTGGTCAGGTTCTCTGAAACTGGCACCGAACGGACACGATTGACAATCTTTGAGCGCATTGCCCAGGCCCGATCTAAGGCTTCTTGAACAGGGACAACTGGCACCTCTTTGTCATAGGGGGGCCAGCGTCGCGAACGCGCTATGGGTCCCACAATGGGAAATCCCTGCAGCAGCAAATCTGGCATGAACGCATCCACTGAATGGCAGGCTTCGAGCATCTCGTAGTACAAGGCGACGTGGCAGCAGGAGCCGAGCTGGCATGGCTGATCGTCCTCAACACCTCGAAGGAGCCGACGAAGCGGTCGATCCGAGACAGAGGCAAGAAGCGCTGCTGTAGAAGGTAGAAGTGCGATCGCACGCGCCTCCCAGAACTGTAATGCATCCAAGCGCTGCTGAACCACGGCTGGCAGATCTGCCGCCAAGTTGCTGACACACTTGCGCAAGTCTTGATCAAGCTCAACTTCAATGCAGAGTGGGTGTGGAATGGAGAGAGCCCACTCGATGGCCACTCCGGGCTCGGTCTCGAGGTGGAGGAGGGGCTTGCGAGCGCCACGTTTGAGCTGGTACCCCGCTGCTCCGGCCTTCAAGGCTGACAAAGCTTGACGATGGTCTTGCCAACGAAGCGCTTGACCAACAGGGCGCTTCCGCTCGTCCGACAGGAGGCGGAAACTTGGCTCGAACTGTGGCACGTGATCAGCCCAAATTGAAGAAATGATGCGCACTAGCTGTGTGCACAGAGCGATCGGGTAAACTTGAGCAAGCTTGGTGCGGTAGACCCAACGGCCAAAGAAGTCTGACCAGACTTTGCCTCTGAGTTGCTCATGACGATGGCCACCTGGACAACGATGGCGTAGTGCACCGAGCCCCTGATGAGACACCAGCAACCGTGTAGGCTTGACCAAGGGAGCCCCAAAGTAACACTGATCAAAGTCGACGAACCAGGCTTTAGTGAGGCGCTTCAGTTCAATGATGTCAGGCGTGAGCCACATAAGACTGAACTCCGGGTTCTCGATCGAGAAATCTCCACCATGCAGATACACAGCGAGGCATGCCATGCACGAGCGTTGGAGGAACAAGTTTCCCAAGAAAACCATGGCAGCATTTTCCGCATCCAGATGGGCCAACCCGAGCGGTTGCTCTGGCGAGCGCAGGGGAGGTGGTCCTCCATCAAGCTTCCGAGCTGCAGAGAAGGTATTGCACGGCGTCCCACAGTGCAGGAAACGAACTGCGCCCGCTTGGACGAGCGCCAGGATGAAGTCCCAGTTGTCGGCATCCACCACATCGAAAGGCTGAGGCACCATGTCACAAGGAGTGATGTCGATCGGTGGGAGGCACGGCAAACCCGCCTCACGAGCTGCTTTGGTCAGCGTGGCTGTGCCCGAGAAGATCTCCAGGAACCAAGGGCCTGCTGCGGCGACCGCCGCGACATCCCGGGGCACCTCAACCCAAGAGTGCCAAGCTGGCGGAGGCTCTGTCAACACCCGAGCGGGCGCTTCATGCGCGCCTCCAGGCTCCTCATGAGTCGGAGGCAGAGGGGCCGGAGCGGCTTTCCCCTCTGCCGGTGGTTGCCATGCCAAGGGTGCTCCTTGCCACATTCAACACAAAGGTGAGCACTCTTGCACTGATCTCCGAAACGGCACCCTAATGAGCAGTTGAACCATGGACATCGTTTGGGTCCCTTGTACTTGAACGAGTTGATCTTGCTCCATTCTGCGGTCGGCACACGAGCATCCTTCTTCGGCTGCTCCTTCTTCTTGTCCCCGAGCGCCTCGCGAGCTGACTTCACGAGCTGTTTGCGTCGATCTCTGCGAGCTTTGTTCTTCTTGGCTTTGGTCGACGGAGCTGACTTGACCGGAGAGTCAGACCTATCTCGCTTAGTGGACTTGCGAGTAGGAGTAGACGGATCCTCTTGGTGCCCCGCCTGTTTGAACTTCTCCAGCTCTGCGCTCGATCGAGCATCGTTCCACAACTGCTTGTGATGCGTGAGAACTTCGACCAAAGCACTTGAGAATGTGGGGAATGACTTGCGTTGATCCGCATTCAGCCGGTAGACTTTCTTCCTGATCAGGGTGTCGACTGTCAGGAGCAGAGCCAATCCACGGTGCTCATGGCGC